CGTTTCTGCTCACATGCCCAATTCCATGCCTTCAAGGCTGGGATCACACCCATGAGGTACTCCATAACCGCTGACCATCAAACAACGCAGATTTGAATTGTGCGGATCCACTTATACTCAAATTTTTTTTTCAATTAACCAGCTCAGGTCAATTGACCCTTGCAGTTCAAAGCTGAGCTGTTCAAGGGTGAACCAACTGGCAGCTGGGAATCCGTGTATGTGGAGGGCTGACTTAAGTTATAGGAGAATTTTGACTCAGGAGTGGTCAGTGCTCCTAAACCGCTATTTCTTCAAGGGTCAACTGTAGTGTTTTCTCTCCATTGGCCATTTTATTCTGAAGTCCTCTAGCACGGAAAGATTTACCTGTCTGCCTTGCACTGGTCACTAATTTAGTTAGATTTTGATAAATCTAACTAAATGATAAGCTAATAAAGCCATGTCCCTTAATTCTTTTCTGTCCCCAGGAATACTTTCAAATGGCCAGCCCCTTTCCAGCCTTTAGTTCTCAGTGCACATGGCACTCCTCGGTGAGACCTTCCTTGAGTACCCAATATCAACTATTCCCGTTTCCTGCCCACTCTGAGCAGTCACAGAACCCTCTTTTAATTTCTTCATATCACTTATCAAGTTCTGAAACCTCTTTGTTTATTCATTTACTTGCTTATTTTCTGTCCCCTTGAGAGAGAAGAACTTTGTTTACTGTTTGCCACTCTGTGTCCAGTGCCTAGAATGGTAACTATAACACAGTAGGTGCTCAGTAAACATTCGTCGAGTGAATAAATGCAAGAACCAGAGACGGGCATACAAGAAGTGCTTAATAAAATGCTTACCAGATGAATCAGAAACCTGTCATCCAAGCACTGATCGTGGAATCTTTTGTTTCTTTACTTTTGAAAACTAGTTCCTTTTCTGTGTGTTTCTTTCCTGCTGGGTACTCACAGCAGCTCACATCACAGTTAATTTTGAAAGGAGATCAGACATATGAGTTTCTATTAGTTCTCAGTAGGACAAGTCCTCTGTCCACTGTGCTGTAGATTGTAAGAAATAATAGGAGTGTCCTAAGTGTGGACATTTAAGATATGTTTTGGAAACACAGATCAAGTTTGACTGTGGGTCTCTTCTTGGCTCTTCCACTGATGGAGCCCTCTCTGCAAAGCCCCATCCAAGCTTGGTCTGCTTTCAGGCCTGCCAATGAACTCTAGTTTCTCATCTCAGACCTCAGCTACTTTATAAGGCGCAAAAATCTAGCTTTGATGCTGTACGTGGAAAATGGTAGAAAAAGGAAGTTTATATGGGAAAACTGAATGTACAAAAACAAACCTGCTTATTAGAGAAAACAACCCCTGGTAGGTCTCTAATGGAGAGCTTAGTGATTGGTAATATTAAGAAGGCAGAGGTGAAGCCTGTCGTTGCCACATGCCATTTATCTGGAATGGAGGGCGAAGCCCCTCTCTGGTGTGTTCTAAAGAAGGCTCTTTAGACTTTTCACCATTTCCTTTCCTCTGTGGTAGATGCATTTGGGCTTGAACCCTGACACCTTTGAGAAACACAAGAAATAGGCTTGATCATGACCATGACACTAGCATGAATCTACCGTTAATTTCCAAACTGAAGTTCTTGAAAATGATGGTGAGTTCTGCCTCTAGAGGTTTTCATTTGTGGGACCCCAGGGAGTGGAGGCACAGCAAGCGCCCTCCCCTGGGCATGGCAGTGTTCCATGGGGAAGGGCTGGAAACACCAACATGTGACCTTTAACTGAGAAACCCCAAGGCCAGCGAGGCTCAGCTGTGTAAGTACCATCCTCGGACTTCGAGGTTCTATTGCTCCATCCAGGCTCTGCTTGATGCTTTCTTCTCCTGCCTATTCTGTTCCAAAAAGAAATCTAATGAGGCCTCGGCCCACTGTTGGGTTTCCTATTTTCTGTTTTATCAAGCTCTTTTATCCTTTGTATCGGCTGTGAAGAATCGTGAGACTACCACGGTACATTTTGGTGGGATACAGAGGAGAGACAGGATGCCCATTGAAATCTGAATTTCAAGTAAACAACAAATCGTTTTTCAGTGTATGTCCCAATATTTTATTTGCTGCATCTGGTGCTTAGATTTGTTTTCTTTTGCCGTGCTTTTCTTTGTCATGTTGCTTTTTTATGGGTAGGGGTACAAAGAAGGAACAAGGAAAGAGGAGTGAGATATTTTGTGTCCTGTTTTCAATCTTGGGGTAACGGTTTACTCCTTCTGTTGTAAAGGTGCCATAAAAAGGCTTGAGAGTCCTTTCTACAAAATCCTCAAACTTCCAGTCTGACGAATGTCCTCTCCATTGTGTCTTTGCAAACTTCTGAGTTGACTGAGAGTGGCACAAGGTTGAAATCTGGCTTCTCCAGCAAGCGGAAATGACAGGGCTTGGCTAATTGCAAAATGAGCGAAGTAGCATATGCCATGTGGACAGGCGCAGTTCAATCACAGCAGGGGTTCCTGTCACCTCATTTCAGAGAGGCTAAGCGCAGATGTGGTCCCACAGAGATCCCAGTGAGTATGTCCAGAACGGGACAGTGAGGGTAACAAGCTGGCAGAAGATGTTAGGACGAATAAGGGTGACAGCTACATTTAAGGAACTACATTACACGAACTAAACTCACTCCTCCAACAATGCTATGAGGTAGGTATTAGTGTCATTATTCCATTACAGATGGGGAAACTAAGGCAGGTGAGTTTAAATCATTTGCTTACTTAAATTACTTGGAGGATACAAACTGGTTCTAGAACCCACTGTACGAAACCACCTGTGTTTCTGCAGCCTGGACACTCTGAGAGCGGGGCATGCGGGGAGGGCGGAGCTGTGGGCATAAGCAGTCCCTTTCCCACGACGCGCTCTTGGAGACCAACAGGGCCCACCGTCTCCTGGGCAGCCCTGAGAGCACCGGCAGGAGAGCCAGACACGGTGATGAAGTGACCAGGGGAAGTAAATGAGCTGTGAATAAATTATGAAACTGATAAATTACGTAAGGATTGTTTTTAAGAAAGAGCAAGTGCAAGGTTTCAGGTCAGAGTTTAATCCAACTAAACCAGCTAATCTTTTTCCTGTTCTTTTTCCCAAGGCCTTCATTACTCTCCGGCGACGCGTTCGGAATGCTGTGCCGGGCTCCGAGTTCCTGAGACACTAGTGAATTGTGATGATTAGGTAGCCTTAGCCCTTTGGTCCTCAGCAAGATGAAAATGGGTGTCCCATAATCTCAGAAACCATCCAAACTGAAGAGCCAGTGACACTAGAAGGAAAATAACTCCAGGAGGGCCAAGAGTATCATTGTTCCTTTAAAAAGAACTGTGTACAACTTGGAAACCCCTGGGAATGTATGTTGACACTATGTTATTACAGAGGGCAGAAAGGGCTCCACTGGAAACAGACGTGATCTATCTGATTTTCTCTGATGTCCTGAGCTGAAAACAAAGAAAATTACTGAAGGTGCTAACACTCGGGTTAAATAGAGCAGCTCAAAGTTCCAAAGAGCTCAGCTTGGAAGGAAGCCTTTGATTAATAAACCATAAATCTTACTGTAGTCATCAACAAAAGAAAAAAATAGCTCTGTCCCAAAGCTTGTTTGTCTCGAAAAGAATTCTTTTCTTCTCCAAATCCCTCCAATGAGTTTTAGATGTGCAAATAATGGCTATAATTTACGCAGAAATTTTAAACCATCAATGGCTTAATCTACCTAAAATCCCAACGAAGTCCTGCAATATTATTCCAGTTTATACAGCGCAACAAACAGAGGCCCGCAAAGGATAGAAGTTGCCACCCACAGCCCCTGACAGCCAGCTTTGTGATGAGATGAGCTCTCAGATCCCATCTTTGTACAAAACACATAATGATTATAGGGATTCAAGAAGCCTGGAAGTTCTGAGCCAAAAAAAACCTTTAAAAATGACAGTAAGACCCAGTTGTTTCTCCTTTGCAGTGATTTCTCTAAAAGGAAACAATCCATTGTGGGATTTAAAACTTCCCATTACTATGGCTTGTTTTCTAGCTTTCTGCATCTGAGTAGCAATAGACAGGTGGAGGAGGTGGGTCCTGAACACCCCGATGCTTGTCCAGATTAATCATTGGCTTGGAAAGGCTGGCAGAGACCACCTTTCAAACAGGCAGGTGTGGGGGTCCTTTTTGGGACACATTTCTCCTCCACTCCTCCCTGTCTCCCCACCGCCTCCACCCCCACCTCATATATCATCGTCCACATTCATCTCTTTCAACCCGTAAACGTTTGTGTCTGTACCCTTCTTTTGGAAAAGTGAGGCTTTGGCCTTAAACGCAGGTGAATGCTGTGTACAGGCAGGAAGCTACCTTGTAACTGGAACTGTGGGCACCAAGAGCCCTCCTCCTGAGTGGGTTCTGTGGCCCCTTAAACAGCAAAACTCAGAATATACAACAGACAGCCTCCCACATACATACAGCAAAATATTTCTGTGTGGACCCCAAAGTTCAGGCAGCACTCGCTTCATCTGCTCTTCCGTAGCTTTCTTCCTGAATCCTGGCTGCCTCGTTTCAATGGATGATTGAAATCTTTCTTACTTTCTCAGTAACTCCATGGGGAAATTCCACTTTGAAATTCTCTTTTCCCTGTCATTTTTACTTTACAGCTGAGGGGCCAGGGATGGGCCGGGAAAGGATCTCTCTCTCCCTCTCTCAAAATGACGTAGGGCGTCTGGACATCCTCCCTGCCCCCACACCCCTCTCCGAGTCTAATCCTGATTCCCGCACAATCCAGGTTTCCCTTTCCCTGCTGGCCTCTCACCGCGGGCTTCGGAGCAGGAGGGGCTGCCGAGGACGCGCCCGCAACAGACTCCAGCCTCCGAGGGGCCCCCGCTGCCCGCGCCGGGGGAGAGGCCCAGGTCCCGGGGGGCGGTCACAAAGCCCGGCTCCTCGGAAGCGCGGGGACAGCGGAGAGGCCGCCCCGCGCCCCGCGCTGCGCGCAGCTCGGCGGGGAGGCTCCGCTCCCGGGGACAACTTACTGTGTTCGCCGCGCGGCCACGCTGCAAACTCCCAAACGGGAGGGGGGGAGACAGCACCGGCTCAGCCGTCTCCGAGAGCAGAAGCGACAGGAGAGAAGGAGGGGCGGAGACGGGGGAACGGTCCCCTCTCCCACCCAAGGGCGTCCCCCGGGTGCGGACGGGGAGACCCCCGGGAGCGGCGGCGCTTTCTTGGGGCCCTCTCCGGTCCGCTGCTCAGACAGGTAGTTGGAAGAAAAAGAACAAAGCTCCCAGTGAAGACCGGCGGCGGTCCCCGGGCGCCACAGGGGCGGGGAAGGCCGAGC